TTGGTCTCTCTCTCTCTGGTCTCTCTCTCCGGTCTCTCTCTCTCTGGTCTCTCTCTGGTCTCTCTCTCTGGTCTCTCTCTCTCTCTGGTCTCTCCCTCTGGTCTCTCTCTCTGGTCTCTCTCTCTGGTCTCTCTCTCTCTCTGGTCTCTCTCTGGTCTCTTTCTCTGCTCTCTCTCTCTCTGCTCTCTCTCTCTGGTCTCTCTCTCTCTCTGGTCTCTCTCTCTCTGGTCTCTCTCTCTCTGGTCTTTCTCTCTGGTCTCTCTCTCTGGTCTCTCTCTCTCTCTGGTCTCTCTCTCTGGTCTCTCTCTCCGGTCTCTCTCTCTGGTCTCTCTCTGGTCTCTCTCTCTGGTCTCTCTCTCTGGTCTCTCTCTCTGGTCTCTCTCTCTGGTCTCTCTCTCTCTGGTATCTCTCTGGCCTCTCTCTGGTCTCTCTCTCTCTCTGGTCTCTCTCTCGGGTCTCTCTCTGGTCTCTCTCTGGTCTCTCTCTCTGGTCTCTCTCTCTGGTCTCTCTCTCTGGTCTCTCTCTCTGGTCTCTCTCTCTCTCTGGTCTCTCTCTCTGGTCTCTCTCTGGTCTCTCTCTGGTCTCTCTCTGGTCTCTCTCTCTGGTCTCTCTCTCTGGTCCCTCTCTCTCTGGTCTCTCTCTCTGGTCTCTCTCTCTGGTCTCTCTCTCTCTGGTCTCTCTTTCTGGTCTCTCTCTCTGGTCTCTCTCTCTCTTGTCTCTCTCTCTGGTATCTCTCTCTGGTCTCTCTCTCTGTGGTCTCTCTCTCTGGTCTCTCTCTGGTCTCTCTCTGGTCTCTCTCTTGGTCTCTCTCTCTGTCTCTCTCTGGTCTCTCTCTGGTCTCTCTCTCTGGTCTCTCTCTGGTCTCTCTCTCTCTGGTCTCTCTCTGGTCTCTCTCTCTGGTCTCTCTCTCTGGTCTCTCTCTCTGGTCCCTCTCTCTCTGGTCTCTCTCTCTGGTCTCTCTCTCTGGTCTCTCTCTCTCTGGTCTCTCTTTCTGGTCTCTCTCTCTGGTCTCTCTCTCTCTTGTCTCTCTCTCTGGTATCTCTCTCTGGTCTCTCTCTCTGTGGTCTCTCTCTCTGGTCTCTCTCTGGTCTCTCTCTGGTCTCTCTCTCTGGTCTCTCTCTGGTCTCTCTCTCTGGTCTCTCTCTGGTCTCTCTCTCTGGTCTCTCTCTCTCTGGTATCTCTCTGGTCTCTCTCTCTCTGGTCTCTCTCTCTGGTCTCTCTCTCTGGTCTCTCTCTCTGGTCCCTCTCTCTCTGGTCCCTCTCTCTCTGGTCTCTCTCTCTCTGGTCTCTCTCTCTGGTCTCTCTCTCTGGTCTCTCTCTCTCTGGTATCTCTCTGGTATCTCTCTCTGGTCTCTCTCTCTTTGGTATCTCTCTCTGGTCTCTCTCTGGTCTCTCTCTCTGGTCTCTCTCTCTCTGGTCTCTCTCTCTCTTGTCTCTCTCTCTGGTCTCTCTCTCTTGTCTCTCTCTCTGGTCTCTCTTTGGTATCTCTCTCTGGTCTCTCTCTCTGGTCTTTCTCTCTCTGGTCTCTCTCTGGTCTCTCTCTCTGGTCTCTCTCTCTGGTCTCTCTTACTGCAGTAGAGACCTACAGTGATTCTCCAGTTTGATGCAGAGTCAGAGACTAAAGAGAAACACCTGTGAGCGTCCTGCTGCGAGGCGCTGTTCATTGATCAAGGAGAGATTTATTTGTATAACACATGACCCACTTGGACTCTCTCACTATCTCCCTCTCCCCCCTCTTTCACTCTCCCCCTCTCTCTTTCCCTCCCATCCCTCTGTCTCCCCCTTTCTCTCCCTCTCTCTCACAGTCTCTCTCTCTCTCCCTCTCCCCCCTCTCTCTCACCCCGTCTCTTCCTTTTTCTCTCTCCCTATCTCTCTCTGCGACTCTCTCTGGCTCACTCTTTTTCTCTCTCTTCCCTCCCCCCTCTCTCTTCCCCTCCCTCTCCCTCTGTCTCCCTCCTTCTCTCTCCCTCTGTCTCTCACAGTATCTCTCTCTTCCTCCTTCCCTCTCCCTCTACCCCTCTCTTTCTCCCCTCTCTCCCCTCTCTCCCTCCTTCTCTCTCCCCCTTTCTCCCTACTTCTCTCTCCCCCTTTCTCTCTCCCCCTCTCTCCTGCTCCCTCCCCCTCTGTTTCTCCCCTCTCTCCCCATCTCTCCCTCCTTCTATTTCCCCCTTTCTCTCTCCCTCCTTCTCCCCCCCCTCTCTCCCCCCCCTTTTTCCCCCTCTCTTTCTCCCCTCTCTCCCCTTCTCTCCCTCCTTCTCTCTCCCCCTTTCTCTCTCCCCCTCTCTCCCCCTCTCTTTCTCCCCTCTCTCCCTCCTTCTCTCTCCCCCCCCCCCCTCTCTCCCCCTCTCTTTCTCCCCTCTCTTTCTCCACTCTCTTTCTCCCCTCTCTCCCCCTCTCCCTCTCCCCCTCTCTTTCCCCCTCCCCCCCCCCTCTCCCCTTCTTCCCCCCCCTCTCTCCCCTCCTTCTCTCCCCCCTCTCTCCCTCTCCCCCCCTCTCTCTCCCCCTCTCTCTCCCCCTCTCTCCCTCTCTCCCCTCCCTCTCTCCCCCCCCCCCCCCCCCCTCTCTCCCCCTCTCTCCCCTCCCATATCCAGTCCAGTGCGGTCGTCCTGATTTCCGGCTGAAATATAGAAATATAAAAGTGATTTGTAGAAAGAGTGGAGGCACCGACGTCTCGCTCTCTCTTTGAAGTTAACAAGCGCTAAATCAGGTTTTGGAGAAACGCAGGAAGAAGAAGAAGAAGAGAGGGCGATAAGAGAGGGCGAGACAAAGAGGTCAGAGCGCTCAGGAAGAGACGGAAGGAAAGGGAAGAAGAGAACATTGGAAAAAAGTGAAAAACCTCCTTTTTATGTTTCGGCCGCAAAAGAAAAGAGAAAAACTTTGGAATTGAAACAAATGAAAAGCTTTAGCTCTCCCTGGTCCCATGGTCTCTCTTTGGTCTCTCTCCTTGGTCTCGCTCTGGTCTCTCTCAGGTCCCATTGTCTCTCTGGTCTCTCTCCTTGGTCTCGCTCTGGTCTCTCTCAGGTCCCATGATCTCTCTTTTTTGCTTCTTTCTGGTCTCTCTCTCTCTTGTTCTCTCTTTCGCTCTCTCTCTCTGGTCCCATGGTCTCTCCTTGGTCTCTCTATGGTCTCTCTCTGGTCTCTCTCCTTGGTCTCGCTCTGAACTCTCTCAGGTCCCATGATCTTTCGCTCTCTCTAATCTCTTGCTCTGGTCTCTCTCTTTTCTGGTATATCTCTAGTCTAATTACTCTCTCTCTGGTTTCTCTTCTGGTCTTACTTTGGTTTCTCTCTCTGGTCCCTCTCTTTGGTCTCGTTCTGGTCTCTCCCAGGTCCCATGATCTCTCGCTCTCTCTCTGGTCACTCTCTTTAACTGGTGTCTCTCTAGTCCATCTCTACTTCTCTCTCTCTCTCTCTCTCTCTCTCTCTATGCGGCCTCTCTCTCTCTGGTCTCTCTCTCTCTCTCTCTCTCTCTGGTCTCTCTCTATCTGGCCTCTCTCTCTCTCTCTCTGGTCTCTCTCTTCTCTCTCTCTCTCTCTCTCTCTATCTGGCCTCTCTCTCTCTCTCTGGTCTCTCTCTCTCTCTCTTTCTCTCTCTCTCTCTCTCTCTCTCTCTCTCTCTCTGGTCTCTCTCTCTCTCTCTTTCTCTCTCTCTCTCTCTATCTGGCCTCTCTCTCTCTCTGGTCTCTCTCTCTCTCTTTCTCTCTCTCTCTCTCTCTCTATCTGGCCTCTCTCTCTCTCTCTCTCGGGCCTCTCTCTCTCTCTCTCTCTTTCTCTCTCTCTCTCCGGCCTCTCTCTCTGGTCTCTCTCTCTCTCTCTCTCTCTCTCTCTCTCTTTCTCTCTCTCTCTCGGGCTCTCTCTCTCTCTCTCTCTCTCTCTCTCTCTCTGGTCTCTTCTCCGGTCCCTCACTCTTGTCTCTCTCTGCGGCCTTTCCATCTGGTCTCGCTCTGTTCCCAAAGATGGAACAGGTAAAGGAAATAGACTAAATTGGATAAAAGTGGAAAACCTCTTTCTTTTCTGTTTCGGAGACGAAGAGAAGAACATTGGAAATGAAACAAATGAAACGCTTTAGCTCCGAGGGTGAAAAGCGAGGCCCTCGACATCAAAAGGTTTGTGTAGAAGGAGTGTCGCTGGTTTGTGATCGGAGCTGGAAGAGGACCGATGAAAGAATGATGGAAAAACAATATCCTGAAGGTGCAAGAAGTGTTTCCTGCTGAGTCCAATTCAAACCTGGGTCTACAGCCTCAGTCCTGGATCTACAGCCTCAGTCCTGGATCTACAGCCTCAGTCCTGGATCTACAGCCTCAGTCCTGGATCTACAGCCTCAGTCCTGGATCTACAGCCTCAGTCCTGGGTCTACAGCCTCAGTCCTTGATCTACAGCCTCAGTCCTGGGTCTACAGCCTCAGTCCTGGGTCTACAGCCTCAGTCCTGGGTCTACAGCCTCAGTCCTGGGTCTACAGCCTCAGTCCTGGATCTACAGCCTCAGTCCTGGGTCTACAGCCTCAGGCCTGGATCTACAGCCTCAGTCCTGGGTCTACAGCCCCAGTCCTGGGTCTACAGCCTCAGTCCTTGATCTACAGCCTCAGTCCTGGGTCTACAGCCTCAGTCCTTGATCTACAGCATCAGTCCTGGGTCTACAGCCTCAGTCCTTGATCTACAGCCTCAGTCCTGGGTCTACAGCCTCAGTCCTTGATCTACAGCCTCAGTCCTGGGTCTACAGCCTCAGTCCTGGATCTACAGCCTCAGTCCTGGGTCTACAGCCTCAGTCCGTCTGTAGAAGCAGATCTCTCTCTCTCAAAGTGGGACTCCCAGGTGTTTCTCAATTTCTTCCCACTGGGTTTTAGAGTTTTACTGCAAGAGGTGATGATCCGAGACATTTATTCACATTTATTCACATTTATTCACATTTATTTACATTTGTGGACCGTGGTCATTCTGCTTCCTGCTCCCGTCCTCAGGCAGGATACATCTGGTGTGTGTTGATGGTTGCTGGTGGGAGAGGCAGATGGTAGATGAGGTATTTGTCATAATTCCTTGGTGAATAACAACAGGACCGTCCAAAAGCCTGTCGTCCCAATGTGCTCTGGTGTCTCCTGTGAGAGAGACTTGGACTCAGGTCTAATCTGCTCCGTTCCCCCTGTCACATCCGAGTATGAGGCTGTCCACAACTCCAGGTCTCACTCTGGTCTCTCACTGGTCTCACTCTGGTTTCTCTCTTTGGTCTCACTCTGGTCTTTCCCCAGTTCCTCCCTGGTTTCTCTCTCTCTCTCTTTGGCCTCCCTCTGCTCTCTCTCTGGTCTCTCTCTGGTCTCTCTTTGTCTCTCTCTGGTCTCTCTCTGGTCTTTCTCTTGTCTCTCTCTTGTCTCTCTCTGGTCTCTCTCTGGTCTCTCTCTGCTCTCTCTCTCTGGTCTCTCTCTGGTCTCTCTCTGGTCTCTCTCTCTGGTCTCTCTCTGGTCTCTCTCTGGTCTCTCTCTGGTCTCTCTCTGGTCTCTCTCTGGTCTCTCCCTGGTCTCTCTCTGGTCTCTCTCTGGTCTCTCTCTGGTCTCTCTCTGGTCTCTCTCTGGTCTCTCTCTGGTCTCTCTCTGACCTCTCTCTGGTCTCTCTCTGACCTCTCTCTGGTCTCTCTCTGGTCTCTCCCTGGTCTCTTCAGATAACTCAGTCTTAGTGTCTTCCCTTGTGTTGCAGGTGTCTCCGGGCTGTGACCAGGTGTTGGTGAACGGGAAGGAGATGCGCGGGCGTCAGTCTCTGGCCGTGTACTTCAGTTACCTGCACCTGTGGGCACAGCTGCAGCTCACCGTGTGGGTTCCCAAACTGCCGTTACAGATCGAGGTGTCGGACACAGAGCTGAGCCAGGTCAAAGGCTGGAGGGTCCCCATCGTCACCAACCGCAGGTGAGACATACTGTGACATCACCATAGAGACCAGAGAGAGAGAGAGAGAGACGAGAGAGAGACCAGAGAGAGAGAGAGAGAGAGAGACCAGAGAGAGAGAGCCACCACATCTTTGCCTCAGTGACATTTACTAAACATTCCTCTTGCTCCGTCTTCAGTTTCTTGTTATTTGGATTGAACCAGAACAGATTATTTAACTATCACATTCTCCGACAAACTACAACCAGTAAATTCAGCACAAACTCTTGACGTCACCGACACCGACCTACAACACCCGCCTCCCCCGCTCTCTGATTGGTCGGAGGGGATTCAGCCGAGGAAACTGCAGCCACTAGGATCAGACCCAGACGTACATGTAGGAAATGACCATGGACCAGAGTTTACACATGGTAAGACCAGACGTACATGTAGGAAATGATCATGGACCAGAGTTTACACATGGTAAGACCAGACGTACATGTAGGAAATGACCATGGACCAGAGTTTACACATGGTAAGACCAGACGTACATGTAGGAAATGATTATGGACCAGAGTTTACACATGGTAAGACCAGACGTACATGTAGGAAATGACCATGGACCAGAGTTTACACATGGTAAGACCAGACGTACATGTAGGAAATGACCATGGACCAGAGTTTACACATGGTAAGACCAGACGTACATGTAGGAAATGATTATGGACCAGAGTTTACACATGGTAAGACCAGACGTACATGTAGGACATGATTATGGACCAGAGTTTACACATGGTAAGACCAGACGTACATGTAGGACATGATCATGGACCAGAGTTTACACATGGTAAGACCAGACGTACATGTAGGAAATGATCATGGACCAGAGTTTACACATGGTAAGACCAGACGTACATGTAGGAAATGATTATGGACCAGAGTTTACACATGGTAAGACCAGACGTACATGTAGGACATGATCATGGACCAGAGTTTACACATGGTAAGACCAGACGTACATGTAGGAAATGATCATGGACCAGAGTTTACACATGGTAAGACCAGACGTACATGTAGGAAATGATCACGGACCAGAGTTTACACATGGTAAGACCAGACGTACATGTAGGAAATGATCATGGACCAGAGTTTACACATGGTAAGACCAGACGTACATGTAGGAAATGATCATGGACCAGAGTTTACACATGGTAAGACCAGACGCACATGTAGGAAATGATCATGGACCAGAGTTTACACATGGTAAGACCAGACGTACATCTGAGTGGCTCTGACTAGTTTTCTCTAAAGATGTCTAACTTGCCCGACCAGAAGAGCCCCCTGAGCCCTCCCAGCCTCTCCTTCTAATCAACTGCATGAAGCTATTTTCTCCTAAAGCCGTTTTCTTCCGTAACTTTAGTCGATTGGTGAATCAGAAGTTAACAAAATCGTAACAGTACATTTGGATGCTCCCCGTGTCCACAGCTTTAGCCAGTTCTGCTCCATTCTCCTGGTTTTGTGGCGTGTCGAGGCTTTTCTCTCCTCTTTGTGTGTTCGAGTGGTCACGATGCATGCTTTCTGTGTGTGTGTGTGTGTGTGTGTGTGTGTGTGTGTGTGTGTGTGTGTGTGTGTGCATGTGTGTGTGTGTGTGTGTGTGCGTGTTACGTAAGGGATAATGTATAGCCTACAGGTCATTATCGGAAAATAAGTACCGACAGGGCGAAGCGGACCCCGACGCGCAGCGGAGGGGTCTGCTTCCGCCCTGAAGGTACTTATTTTCCGATAATGACCTGTATGCTATACATTATCCCGCTTATTATACTGCTTTGTACCAACTTAACACACAAAATAAACTTCAGATCACTTTTATGAATGCCAAAAGTTTATTTAATGACAACAAATAAAGTAGTCCCAAAAAGTTTTCCCGTTGCTCGGCAACCGCGGGCAACAGTTAGGCTGGCAACTTCCAAACTAGAACTCTCTGGAACTGCATGAAAACTGAACAAAGAATTCTGAACATCAGCGGTGAGTGACCCATACATAAACCTAACCTAAATCCATAATTCGATCCTCTGCAAATGTGTCCGAAAATGTGCCGGTATCTTAAAATGTGCCGGTATCTACTTCCGGGTTTTTCGGGATCGCCTTTTCTCGCATTACATCAGTGTTTTTGTCATGAAAACGTAAACGAAAAATTCTGAAAACTTCCGTGCACTTGTATTAAGACTGGATATGTATAATTCACTCTCCGATAAACATTTCATTGCGTTGATTGATTGGCATTTGCGTTTATTGAGCGGCCAGAACTACTTCCGGGTTTTTCACGATCGCTTTTTGACGCAGAGAAATAGTATTTTTGTCATAAAGACAAGACCAGAAAATTCTGAAAATTTCCGTGCACGTGTGTGAAGAATGTATATGTATAAGTATTCTCCGATTAACATTTAAGTGTGTTGATTGAGCGTGGCTAGCTCAGGAGTGGCCGGAACTACTTGCGGAGTTATCCACGCATTTGAAAGACAAGCAGAGAGTGCGTTGCCATGGGCAGCGGTCATTATTGTTTTGAGAGGTCCGTTATAGAAAATAATGACCGGTAGAACGTTTTGAAATTACATTCAAATCAATAGCGAACTATCTAAATGACGTCACTAAGACACGCCCCCGCCGCCTGTCAACTCCCGCCCACATGTTTCGGACAAACACTGCCGAAATGAATCAAATACCACTTGTCACTTTAGACGAAAATGATAAACCAGGGGCAAAATTCCACCATCAAACCATCAGGGATCATAGTGTAGACCAATTATAACGTTGGCTTGAATGTCGTGGTCTTCCAGTAACTGGTAGACGGTTTGAATTGATAAAAAGATAATGGTGAGGATTATGCTAACATTATCTAGTCATTTAAATTGCAATGCTAGCGCCTTCTTTGTTTGTTTTGCTGTGATTAACTTCCATTTATCAAGTTGTTTTTGCACTATCCACTTTGTAATTAGTTTGATCATTAGTTAGCTACAGTCAGCTGATATTATAATAAATCCATGATCACAACGGGTTACGCCACTGTCTCTGAGAGAGAAACTATCGGAGCTAGCCACACTCAGTAAACGCAAATGACAATCAATCAACACATTTAAATGTTAATGGGAGAATACATTATACACATTCATAACACAAGCGCACGGAGGTTTTCAGAATTAACTGTTCAAGTTTTCATGACAAAAATACTTTTTTAATGCGACTAAAGCGATCGCTTTTAGGTTAACTATCCTCACTGTTACTCGCCTGCCACGGGAAAACCTTTGGGAACTATTTTCTTTGCACTCATTAAATAAACCTTTCGGCATGAGTAGTGAATGGCGTTTATTTTGTGTGTTCAATTGGTACAAAGCCGTATAATAAGCAGACACAAAGTTGAAAAAAATCCCTCTCATCTTTCTTCAGGTGTGAGAATTGTATACATTCTGGATTAGGACAAACAATACTAATATGGATTGATGGGGGTAGAGGGTGTAAAGAGAAAGTTTGTGCTAACTACATTCAGAAGAGCTCAGACGGACCTGATACAGCGGTCCAGGTCCAGTCCCAGCTAAACGTAGCTAGGACTGGATCTGGATGCTCCACAGTTGGTCCAGCGAAGTGTTTTGAAAAAACATGTGCCCTTTTTAACCTTTTCATGAGAGAAATTCTGCTGACCACAAGCACCCACCTGGTCTGATCTGGTCCTGGTCTGGTCCTGGTCTGGTCCGATGTTGTGGTTTAACGAACGGGTTGAATGTTACTTTCATATAGTCCTTTTCAGAGTATCTGAAATCGCTCCGACAAGCACCATAACTGCAGTGTTTTGTTGTCACCATGATTCAATGATTTAGCCCAAATAAATACACACGCCTATGAGGAGAACACAGTAGAACTCAACGAGTCGTACACAATGTTTGTCCGAAACATGCGCAGTCATCGGAGCTATTTTTAGCACATTTCGGAAACCGGACAGTGCCCTATTGAGCGTTCTCCTGCTGCTGTGAGGAGCTGTATAATAAAGTGGTTACAGAATAGACCACATGGGAGCATATATCATGAGAGATACGCCATGACTTTCTCTGAGGTCAAGTTTTGGGCTGTTCTCCCGACAACTGTTATGGTTTAGGTATCTTTTTCCATAAAAACACAGATTCTAAACGCTCTGAGGTCTGTATGTATACTGAGACAGAGGTCTGTGTGTATACTGAGACAGAGGTCTGTATGTATACTGAGACAGAGGTCTGTATGTATACTGAGACAGAGGTCTGTATGTATACTGAGACAGAGGTCTGTATGTATACTGAGACAGAGGTCTGTATGTATACTGAGACAGAGGTCTGTATGTATACTGAGACAGAGGTCTGTATGTATACTGAGACAGGAGAGGTCTGTATGTATACTGAGACAGAGGTCTGTATGTATACTGAGACAGAGGTCTGTATGTATACTGAGACAGAGGTCTGTATGTATACTGAGACAGGAGAGGTCTGTATGTATACTGAGACAGAGAGGTCTGTATGTATACTGAGACAAGACGGCCATAATACATTTATTTCAATACTAATCTAATGTTAAGTCCCAGTTCAGTTCCCGTTTCAAAGAGAAATTCCCATTACTATTGACGCCAGAGAGATAATAACCACAATTTCACAACAAGAGCAGACCTGTACCAGAGGGAACACACTTTTTCCCCCCCACACACACACACATGCCCACACACACACACACACACACACACACACACACACACACACACACACACACACACCCACATGCCCCACACACACACACACACACACACACACACATGCCCCACACACACACACGTTTAGGCCCTAACTATAGAGAACTGATATAGTCCATATGCACCGCACTGTCTTATCTCACTGTCATTCCCTTTCTCTTCAGCTGGGGCCATTTTTCAATTTCACCAATTTCTGCTCAGATAGCCACCTTCATATCTCCTGAGCGCACACACACAGACACACACACACACACAGACACACACACAGACACTGGGACATATAGGATTTCTGTTACATGGCCTCTTGGGTGGCGGGGGTGACTGCAGGGGTGACTGCGGGGGGGGGTAGATTTGACTCAGAGGGAGACCACAACAGAAGCAGTATTATTGTGTCTGTATCTGAAAGCAAAGACCTGGTCCAAGCTGTATTACATTATTGATGGTGTTTTCATACCGGTGACTTCTGTAGACTGTCTCTGTGTAGATTTGGGTTCATCGAATTCAATGTAGAAGAGTGTATAAATCATGTATTAGTCCATATCTGGATCCGGGGGGAGCTACCAGGGGAGCTACCATCCCGTTCTCAAAGCACCAGGCCTTCATGGTCCTCCTGCTGGTGGTGGGTCCGACTGGAGAATGGCTTTGGTCGTTCAGCGGGGGCTTCAGGCAGAGTGGGGTTAAGTGTCTTGCCCAACAGAAGCAGACTTCAGTGGGAGCAGGTGAGATAGGTTGAGGGGGGATTGAACCCAAAACCTTTAGGTTCAATGGTCTATGCCATACTACAGTCTGTGGGTTTGGACTCACAGCTTGATTAGCATTATTTAGAGCCCAGGGACGCAGGGGAGATTTGAGTATGAGAGAGAGAGACTATGATAAAGAGGTGCAGGGAGAGAGAGAGTGAGAGAGTGAGTGTGAGTGAGAGCGAGACAGAGTGTGTGAGAGAGAGAGAGAGATAGAGACTTACTGTAGTGTGAGAGAGAGTGTGTGAGAGAGAGAGATAGAGACTTACTGTAGTGTGAGAGAGAGTGTGTGAGAGAGAGAGATAGAGACTTACTGTAGTGTGAGAGAGAGTGTGTGAGAGAGAGAGAGAGAGATAGAGACTTACTGTAGTGTGAGAGAGTGTGTGTGTGAGAGAGAGAGAGAAATAGAGACTTACTGTAGTGTGAGAGAGAGTGTGTGAGAGAGTGACAGAGTATGAGAGAGAGAGATAGAGACTTACTGTAGTGTGAGAGAGAGTGTGTGAGAGAGAGAGATAGAGACTTACTGAGGTGTGAGAGAGAGTGTGTGAGAGAGAGAGATAGAGACTTACTGTAGTGTGAGAGAGAGTGTGTGAGAGAGAGACAGAGAGAGTATGAGAGAGAGAGATAGAGACTTACTGTAGTGTGAGAGAGTGTGTGTGTGAGAGAGAGAGAGAGAGAGAGAGTATAGAGAGAAGAGATAGAGACTTACTGTAGTGTGAGAGAGAGTGTGTGAGAGAGAGACAGAGAGAGTATGAGAGAGAGAGATAGAGACTTACTGTAGTGTGAGAGAGAGAGTGTGTGAGAGAGAGACAGAGAGAGTATGAGAGAGAGAGATAGAGACTTACTGTAGTGTGAGAGAGGACAGAGAGAGTATGAGAGATGAGCGAGAGAGAGAGATAGAGACTTACTGTAGTGTGAGAGAGAGTGTGTGAGAGAGAGACAGAGAGAGTATGAGAGAGAGAGATAGAGACTTACTGTAGTGTGAGAGAGTGTGTGTGGAGAGAGAGAGAGAGAGAGAGGGAGAGATGAACTGAGATGAGAGAGAGAGATAGAGACTTACTGTAGTGTGAGAGAGAGTGTGAGAGAGAGAGAGAGAGTATGAGAGAGAGAGATAGAGACTTACGTAGTGTGAAGATGTGTGGAGAGAGAGAGAGATAGAGATACTGTGTGTGAGAGAGAGTGTGTGAGAGAGAGAAGAGAGAGTAGTATAGAGAGAGAGAGAGAGAGAGACTTACTGTAGTGTGAGAGAGGAAGAGAGAGAGAGAGAGAGAGAGAGAGGTATGAGAGAGAGAGATAGAGACTTACTGTAGTGTGAGAGAGAGTGTGTGAGAGAGAGACAGAGAGAGTATGAGAGAGAGAGATAGAGACTTACTGTAGTGTGAGAGAGTGTGTGTGTGAGAGAGAGAGAGAGAGAGAGTATGAGAGAGAGAGATAGAGACTTACTGTAGTGTGAGAGAGAGTGTGTGTGAGAGAGAGACAGAGAGAGTATGAGAGAGAGAGATAGAGACTACTGTAGTGTGAGAGAGTGTGTGTGGGAGAGAGAGATGAGAGAGAGAGATAGAGACTTACTGTAGTGTGAGAGAGAGTGTGTGAGAGAGAGACAGAGAGAGTATGAGAGAGAGAGATAGAGACTTACTGTAGTGTGAGAGAGAGTTACTGTAGTGTGAGACAGATAGAGAGAGTGTGTGTGAGAGAGAGAGAGAGAGAGAGAGAGAGAGTATGAGAGAGAGAGATAGAGACTTACTGTAGTGTGAGAGAGAGTGTGTGAGAGAGAGAGAGAGAGAGTAGAGAGGAGAGAGAGATACTTACTGTAGTGTGAGAGAGAGAGACAGAGAGAGAGAGATATGAGTAGTGTGAGAGTGGGTGGAGAGAGAGAGAGAGATGAGAGAGAGAGATAGAGACTACTGTAGTGTGAGAGAGTGTGTGTGAGAGAGAGAGAGAGAGAGAGAGAGAGAGTATGAGAGAGAGAGATAGAGACTTACTGTAGTGTGAGAGAGAGAGAGAGAGTATGAGAGAGAGAGATAGAGACTTACTGTAGTGTGAGAGAGAGTGTGTGAGAGAGATACAGAGAGAGAGAGAGTGCGAGAGAGATAGACTTACTGTAGTGTGAGAGAGTGAGTGTAAGAGAGAGAGAGAGAGTATGAGAGAGAGATATAGACTTACTGTAGTGTGAGAGAGAGTGTATGAGAGAGAGAGAGAGAGAGTGAGAGAGAGATACTTACTGTAGTGTGAGAGAGAGACAGAGAGAGTATGAGAGATGAGCGTATGAGAGAGAGATAGAGACATACTGTAGTGTGAGAGAGTGAGTGTGAGAGAGAGTGAGAGAGTATGAGAGAGAGAGAGAGATAGAGACTTACTGTAGTGTGAGAGAGAGTGTGTGTGAGAGAGAGAGAGAGAGAGAGAGAGAGTGCGAGAGAGATAGACTTACTGTAGTGTGAGAGAGTGAGTGTGAGAGAGATACTTACTGAGTGTGAGAGAGAGACAGAGAGAGTATGAGAGAGATAGAGACTTACTGTAGTGTGAGAGAGAGAGTGTGAGAGAGAGAGAGAGAGAGAGAGAGAGAGAGTGAGAGAGAGATACTTACTGTAGTGTGAGAGAGTGAGTGAGAGAGAGAGAGAGAGCAGAGAGAGAGTGGATTAGAGTCAGAGTGAAGAGGTTTTCTCTGCAGCCTGCAGCTTCACTTCATTAGCAGCAGTTAAACAGATCTTATGTTTCTCTCCTCAGACCCACACGAGACAGCGAGGACGACGAGGACGACGAGAAGAGAGGCAAAGGCTGCGCTCTCCAGGTGCGGCTACACACGGCAAACACAGACACACGGCAAAGACACACACAGCAAAGACACACACAGCAAAGACACACACAGCAAAGACACACAAGGCAAAGACACACACTCCACACACTAAAAGCCCCATTCACACTGAGCAAAAACACTGAGATTTCCCCCCAAAAAACCTTCCTTCCGCACTGGTACACTACAGCTGTAAGTTAGTATTAGCATTAGCATTAGCATTAGCACTACTACCACAACCTGGGATTATACCACGCCCCGGTGATCCAAGATGGCGTCCTTTTCAAATCAGTGGCGCATGTTTCACCATATGGACCGAGAGATTAGAGGAACTCGGCCGTATTTGGGCATTGTCTGGTCCTCCCGGTTCTGCCCAGTGGACGAGCTCCTATGATGCTTTGCGCTGAATAAGTGTTTGTGGCTCTCATGCACGTGCACAGAGAGGCTCGGCCACGCTTTGACCAATCAGAGCAGTTCATCAGGGCAGGAGTCAGACCGGGAAGGAAAGGAGCAGAGTTTGTGGCAGTAAAGTGTGGATTTACAGAAAACTGAAAGATTTCAGAAGAAAAAAAGTTCAGGATGACAAGGAAGAGAAAAATCCCACAAAAGCTGTAGGTTCTCTGTCAGGTTCTCTGTCAGGTTCTCTGTCAGGTTCTCTGTCAGCTGAGGTCGAGCTGTTATAGTTTACATTGAGTTTTATGGGGAACATGTATGGGTAGCCCACATGAATTTAGTCTGGTTCAGTCTGGTTTAGTCTGCAGTCCGCGAGAATCCCCCGAGCACATGGTTCTTCAGCTCCAAACTGTAATACCCTATCCAGTTATTATAATAGATCCAGTTATTATAATAGATCCAGTTATTATAATAGATCCAGTTATTATAATAGATCCAGTTATTATAATAGATCCAGTTATTATAATAGATCCAGTTATTATAATAGATCCAGTTATTATAATAGATCCAGTTATTATAATAGATCCAGTTATTATCATAGATCCAGTTATTATAATAGATCCATGGACTATACATCTGTCCCTTTTGATAATTTTGTCTCAAACTCAATTTCTCTAATTCTTCTCTCTAATTTCTCTCTCTCTGGCCTCTCTATGGTCTCTCTCTGGTCTCTCTCTGGTCTCTCTCTGGTCTCTCTCTGGTCTCTCTCTGGTCTCTCTCTGGTCTCTCTCTGGTCTCTTTCTGGTCTCTCTCTGGTCTCTTTCTGGTCTCTCTCTGGTCTCTCTCTGGTCTCTCTCTGGTCTCTCTCTGGTCTCTCTCTGGTCTCTCTATGGTCTCTCTCTGGTCTCTCTCTGGTCTCTCTCTGGTCTCTCTCTGGCCTCTCTATGGTCTCTCTCTGGTCTCTCTCTGGTCTCTCTCTGGTCTCTCTCTGGTCTCTCTCTGGTCTCTCTCTGGTCTCTCTCTGGTCTCTCTCTGGTCTCTCTCTGGCCTCTCTATGGTCTCTCTCTGGTCTCTCTCTGGTTTCTCTCTGGTCTCTCTCTGGTCTCTCTCTGGTCTCTCTCTGGTTTCTCTCTGGTCTCTCTCTGGTCTCTCTCTGGTCGACTGGATAAAGTTTTCTAAAGCCGGGTCTAAACAACACGCCTGCATGTCTCCTCTCCACAGTACCAGTACGCCTTGGTGAGGGTCCTGACTCATTTCGTAGCGGAGTCTTCGGACCCCGGCGGAGAGATGGTCCACATGCTGGGATCGGACTGGCAGGCAGACATCACACAACTGGTCCTGGATCAGCTGAAGGTCTGAGCAAAGTCTGTGTTGTTTAAAGCTCAGGTACCGGACTGAGGCTGTAGACCCAGGACTGAGGCTGTAGATCCTGGACTGAGGCTGTAGACCCAGGACTGAGGCTGTAGACCCAGGACTGATGCTGTAGACCCAGGACTGAGGCTGTAATTCCAGGACTGAGGCTGTAGACCCAGGACTGAGGCTGTAGATCCAGGACTGAGGCTGTAGACCCAGGACTGAGGCTGTAGACCCAGGACTGATGCTGTAGACCCAGGACTGAGGCTGTAGATTCATGACTGAAGCTGTAGATCCAGGACTGAGGCTGTAGATCCTGGACTGAGGCTGTAGACCCAGGACTGAGGCTGTAGATCCAGGACTGAGGCTGTAGATCCTGGACTGAGTCTGTAGACCCAGGACTGAGGCTGTAATTCCAGGACTGAGGCTGTAGACCCAAGACTGAGGCTGTAGATCCAGGACTGAGGCTGTAGATCAAGGACTGAGTCTGTAGACCCAGGACTGAGGCTGTAATTCCAGGACTGAGGCTGTAGACCCAGGACTAAGGCTGTAGATCCAGGACTGAGGCTGTAGACCCAGGACTGAGGCTGTAGATCAAGGACTGAAGCCGTAGACCCAGGACTGAGGCTGTAGACCCAGGACTGAGTCTGTAGACCCAAGGACTGAGGCTGTAGATCCAGAACTGAGGCTGTAGACCCAGGACTGAGGCTGTAGACCCAGGACAAAGTCAATCTTCCGTTCTGTGTTATTTCCAGGTGGAGAAACCTCACATCGCCAAACTGATCGACGGCAGAGTCCTGGTGGGACGCGATCTTGGCATGACCACGATCCAGGTACAGCCCCAACACACACACCTCAATTCTCCCAAAAATATTAGATTTATACTTATATTTTAACTGGGACGATGCACATTCATGAACATTTCTGTATAACACACTGAGCTCCACATCTTGTTGTCACGGTAACCTCTGGGCACGCAGTAATTATGACTTTAACTCTACATTTCTGCACCGAGGGACGAATGAAGGATCTGTTCATTAATCTTAATCTCTTTATCTAAAAACACCCAGAGCAGAGTTTGATTGGTCTGAGTTTGAAAAGTGTAATTGCAGAAATACATTTATACATACACTTTCTCTCTCGGTGGAAAATGTGTCAAAAAGTTGTGTTTTTTGAGCTGCAACCGTGACGTTTTGTTATCGGCTCAAGAAGAACGGATACGTTATTTGTGTGGCGCTAAAGTAGAGCTGGGGTTTCACAAAACGTCTTGGAAAATGGAAATGGTCAGACTTTCAAGGTAGAGTAGGGTAGGGTAGGGTAGAGTAGAGTAGAGTAGAGTAGACTAGACTAGACTAGACTAGACTAGACTAGACTAGAGTAGACTAGAGTAGACTAGAGTAGGGTAGGGTAGGGTTATGTTGAGTACAGTTTGGTAGAGTAGAGTAGAGTAGGGTAGAGTAGAGTAGAGTAGAGTAGGGTTATGTTGAGTACAGTTTGGTAGAGTAGAGTAGAGTAGGGTTAAGTAGAGTAGAGTAGAGTAGGGTTAAGTAGAGTAGAGTAGAGTAGGGTTATGTTGAGTAGAGTAGAGTAGAGTAGGGTTATGTTGAGTACAGTTTGGTAGAGTAGAGTAGAGTAGGGTTAAGTAGAGTAGAGTAGAGTAGGGTTAAGTAGAGTAGAGTAGGGTTATGTTGAGTACAGTTTGGTAGAGTAGAGTAGAGTAGAGTAGGAAGTAGAGTAGTAGTAGAGTAGAGTAGAGTAGAGTAGAGTAGAGTAGGTAGAGTAGAGTAGAGTAGAGTAGAGTAGAGTAGAGTAGAGTAGAGTAGGGTTATGTTATGTTGAGTACAGTTTGGTAGAGTAGAGTAGAGTATAGGGTAGGTAGGTAGGGTCGGGTCGAGTCGAGTCGAGTAGGGTTATGTTGAGTAGAGTAGAGTAGAGTAGGGTAGGGTAGGGTAGGGTAGGGTAGAGTAGAGTAGAGTAGGGTAGGGTAGGGTAGGGTAGGGTAGGGTAGAGTAGAGTAGAGTAGAGTAGAGTAGAGTAGAGTAGAGTAGAGTAGAGTAGGGTTATGTTATGTTGAGTACAGTTTGGTAGAGTAGAGTAGAGTAGGTTCTCCTGTTTCGTAGCTCGTTAGCTTCCATTAGCCTCTGATTAGCTTCGACATCTCACCGCCGTGTTCTGCCGTCACACAGACTGCAACAGGACCTGCTCTGGCCTTTGGCATTTACATAGACACAGACAGAGGAAGGGGAGGGAGAGGGGGGAGGGGAGGAGAGGAGGGAGGAGAGAGAAGAGAGAGGTGAAGAGAGAGGGGAGAGAAGAGAGGGAGAAAGAAAGAGGGAGAAAAAAGGAGAAAGGAGAGAGAGAAGAGAGAGGAGTGAGTGGAGAGAGAAGAGAGGAGAGGAGAGGGCAAGGGAATGGAGAGAAAGGAGAGAGGAGTGGGGGGGAGAGAGACAAGAGACAGGAGAAGGGTGAGAAAAAAGGAGAAAGGAGAGAGAGAAGAGAGGGGAGAGTGAAGAGGAGAGAGAAGAGAAAGAGAGAGAAGAGAAAGAGAGAGAAGAGACAGTCAAAATGTTCTCAAATTAAGAACAGAATCTTTGACCATTGTTTCCGTCTCTCTCTCCGCTGTGCTCCATGCTCCCTCCAAAAGTCGGAGAGTTCTATTTCATCCTTCCTGACCGCCAGAGGCGGTGCTTAAGCACTGGATGATCATCCTCGCGCATGCACAGATCGAGAGTCAAATAACAACAAAGTCACCCGTGACCTCCGGTAGCTCACGCGAGAGTCTATAAAGCCACGTGACACCGGAAGCACAGTCCCTTTTCACTTTCTCGCATGCAGGTTGTATGAGTCTGGCTGAAGCTAACTGATAGCTGTTTGTGCCTGTTGTTCGCGCCGCTTGCTGCGTGTAGCCCCGTGACTGCTCGTCGGTCGGTGCTGCGAGTTTCTCGCCCTCCGTGGGCTGCGCAAGCCGCGCTGCTTGCCTCTGGTGAGTGTTTGTTTTGCTTATTCGCCGTGACTTGCGCTCGGTTGTTTTTCGTTACTTCTTATAATTGAGGGGTTACTAGTGGCGTTTCTGCTCGACCCGACCCTGTTATCTGGCTGTTTACCTGCGCGTATTCAGAGTGTGTTTGGTGGGTTACCAGTGGCGTTCTGCTCGACCTGACCCTGTGTCTTGTTAATTACCTTGTTAATTATTTGTTAATTTCTGTCGGTCACTGGTGGCGTGTCTGCTCGACCTGACCCTGTTGAATTGGCTGTTGCCTGCGCGTGTTCCACGTGTTTCTGCGGGTTGTAAGTGGCGTCTCTGCTCGCACTACCCTACTATATTGGTTGTTCCCTGCACGTGTACGGCGTTCGGTGGGTCACTAGTGGCGTCTCTGCTCGACCTGACCTTGCTGTATTGGTTGTTCCCGGCACGTGTACGCGTTCGGTGGGTCACTAGTGGCGTCTCTGCTCGACCTGACCCTGCTGTATTGGTTGTTCCCTGAACCTGTGAGGCGTTCGGTGGGTCACTAGTGGCGTCTCTGCTCGACCTGACCCTACCGGGAGTGCCCCTGTACTTGGCGGCGACTGCTCCTGCGCGTTAGCTCGCTGGGATGCTTGAGCCGTTGGCCTGCCAGTCCTGTCTGGCCCCGATGCAGCAGGACGATGGCCATGTGCTGTGTCCCTCCTGTCTGGGTGTGGGCCACCTGCGGGAGGCGCTAACCGAGCGTGCATGTCCCGATTGTGCGGTAATGCCCTGGCCGGTGCGCGTGGCCCGCCTGTCGGCCCTGGACGGACATTTCAGTGGCGATTCTGGGGACTGTGAGTCTGCCCTGTTGGTTGACCGACCCCCTGGTCGCAAACGTGAGGGCGCCCGGGGTGATGACCCTCCGCGGAAGAAGTCGAAGTCCTCTGGTCGCGGGGTTCTGACTTCGAAGGTCGATTCGCTTTCTGTGGAGTTGGCTCAGTTGCGGACCCTCCTTCATGACCTTCAGGCTGGTACTGGCCAGTCGGTGGCCCGACCGGTCTCGGTCCCTTTGTCGGTGTGCGATGAGGATGATGCTCTCTCGGTGGCGGCATCTGACACACATTTTCGGCCGGGCTCTGATGTTCTGAGCTCCAGGGTCTCGGAGTCTGGTTCGGTGGGTTCTGTCGGGTCTCTGTCGGTTTCCGATGAGCCCGTGACTGCGGCGATCCGAACGGCTCTGGCGCATTTGAAGCTGGATGTGCCTCAGTGCGATGCGGGGCCCTCGAGTGCCTTCTTTCGCCGCCAGTCTGCGTCCTCGGGGTTCTCTGTTCCTCCTTCGGCGGAATATGTCAAGGAGCTACATGCCTGTTGGACTGACACGAGGGTTTTTTCTAGGCCCAATTCGGACGGTCGGGCCCTGGCTTCTATGCAGGCGCCTGACAAAGTTGGCCTGGGGCATATGCCGGCGGTGGAGCCTGCCATTGCCTCCTTGATTGTACACCCTGAAGAGGCTCTGCGCACTAATGCCCGGTGCCCTCGGCCGCAGTGTCGGGCCACAGATGACCTGCTCTGCAAGGCCTATGACATGGGGCCCGGGGCCGCATTGGGAACTCCCTGTCTCATCTGCTGTTGGGGCTGTCCGCTTCTCTGGAGGCTGTCACATTGGACCAGTCCACGCAGGGGATGGTGGATGCTTCCTTGCAGGCTTTTGCCTTCATGTCTAGGGAACTGGGGCGTCTCCTCTCTACGCTGGTTCAGACTCGCCGCCAGGTGTGGTTGGCGCAGTCCCCTCTCTCCGAGGCCAGCCGCAGAGTGTTGAGGAGCGTTCCTGTGCTCCCTGGAGAGCTGTTTGGCTCGGCTGCCATTGCGGCTCTGGAGCGCACGGTCCAGGCCACTCAGACCCGGCAGCAGTTGGTGGGACTGCACAGGCATCCCCCGCGTGCGTCCGCTTCTGCTGCCCCTGTGCGCGGGCGGGTGGCCCCGCCCCGGAGTTTTTCTGTGCCCCGGACGGTGGATGGGCCGTCGGCTCATGGGGCTCGGCGGGGGAACTTTCCCCCGGCTCAGGCTCCACTGCGTCCCAGTCGTCGCCCCCCCAGGCCCGCTAAAGGCCGGGGTGCCCTCCGGTGAGGCGCCGGGGCCGGTGGTGGGACGGTTTACCCCGGGACAACTTGGTTACTGGAGGGCCCAATCCCCCGATGCATGGGTTGTGGCCACTTTGTCCGTGGGGTATCGTCTCCAGTTCCGCCGCCGGCCTCCTGTTCCCGGCCGGGTCCTTGTGACTGTCATCCAGGACCCGGTCAGGGCGCAGGCACTTGTCCGGGAGATTCGTACTCTACTGGACAAGGATGCCATCGTGCCTGTCGACCCCCTGCTGGATCCAGGGGGCTTTTATTCCCGTTATTTCTTGTACCGAAAAAGACCGGCGACTTGCGACCGGTCTTGGACCTGAGGCGTCTGAATGTTTTCTTGAAGGTCCTCCCTTTCAAGATGTTGCGTGTCCGGCAGGTCCTCCAGGCGGTGTCCCCTGGGGACTGGTTCACGTCGATAGACCTGAAGGACACCTACTTTCACGTCCCGATTGCTCCTCAGCATTGCCGGTTCCTGCGTTTTGCCTTTCAGGGGAGGCACTTCCAGTTCAGGGTGCTTCCCTTCGGCCTCTCGCTCTCTCCTCGGGTCTTTACGAGATGCGTGGCGGCGGCTCTTTCCCCGTTGCAGGCCAGGGGGTTGAGGATCCTGCCCTATCTGGACGATTGGCTGATCTGTGCCCCCACTCGCGAGCAGTCTCTGCGGGATACGCAGGCTGTGATAGAGCACGTGACCAGGTTGGGTCTGCGAGTGAACCTGGCAAAGAGCAATGTGGTGCCGTCTCAGCAGGCTTTGTTCCTGGGCATGGCTCTGGATTCCCTGTCTATGTCCGCCCGCCCCTCGCCTCGACGTGTCGGGGACATTCGGGCGTTGCTCCCGGGCTTCCGTCGAGGACGGTCGCTCCCTTACCTGGCGTTCCTCAGGCTCCTGGGCATGCTGATTGCAGCCTCGTCTGTGGTCCCCCTGGGTCTTTTGTCCTTGCGCCCGCTGCAGATGTGGCTCAATGGCCTGGGGCTGGACCCGGCCAATCCTGTTCACAGACGTCGGCGGTTACTGGTGTCTCCTCGGTGTATGGAGTCACTGTCCCGGTGGCGCGACGAGGCGTTTGTGCTGACGGGCGTCGCGCTGGGTCCCCTGCCGTCCCGCCGTGAGGTGGTGCATACGGACGCGTCCCTGACAGGGTGGGGCGCAACGTGGCAGGGGCGTGCGGTTCAGGGCGTCTGGCCGGTGCGGCAGAGGGGGCTCCATATCAACGTCCTGGAGCTCCTGGCCGTTCAGCTTGCGCTGCGCCATTTCCTGCCGGTCTTGCGGGGGCGGCATGTGTTGGTGCGGTCGGACAACACCAGTGTGGTCTATTTCATCAACCACCAGGGGGGAACTCGGTCGGAGTGCTTGCTGGCAGTGGCACGAGGGCTGTTGACTTGGGCCTATCCCCGTCTTGCGGGTTTGACCGCGATGCACATCCCAGGGACTCTGAATGTGTCGGCGGATTTCCTGTCGCGCCACATTTCGCTGCCGGGCGAGTGGCGGCTACACCCGGAGGTAGTGGTCTCCATTTGGGGGTTGTTCGGCCGGGCGAGGGTGGATCTCTTTGCCTCTCAGGGAACGACTCATTGCCCGCTGTGGTTCTCCCTGTTGGAGTCCACCGGTCCCCTTGGTCAAGACGCGCTGGCTCACGACTGGCCCAGGGTTCTGCTGTACGCGTTCCCGCCGTTCCCTCTGATCCATCAGACGCTGCTCCGGGTCCTTCAGGAGGGCCACAGGATGATACTGGTGGCCCCGTATTGGCCGGGGAGGACATGGTTTCCCTTGCTGCTCAGGCTCTGCTGCGGCTTGGCGAGACCCCTTCCCTCCAGGCGGGATCTCCTGTCTCAACTGGGGGGCCGGCTTCTCCATCCGGACCCCGGCCGCCTGCGGCTTTGGGTGTGGCACCTCCGGGGACCGGTTTAGCGTTTACAGCCTATACTGGAGAGGTTGGCCGCACCATGTGCAATGCCCGGGCTCTGTCCACACGCCGGCTGTATTCCTGTAAGTGGAACGTGTTCGACGGGTGGTGTCGTGGCAGGGGACTCGACCCGCGTCTCTGCTCGGTGACGTCCATACTGACCTTCCTTCAAGAACTGCTCAGTAAAGGCCGTTCTCCGTCCACCCTGAAGGTATACGTTGCTGCGATTTCGTGTGGGCACGCTGGGTTTGGTGGGACTAGTGTCGGTCGTGTTACTGACGTTTCACTGTTTTTGAAAGGTGCCCGCCGGTTGCACCCGCCCTGTCGTCCTGTGGTGCCGGCTTGGGACCTCTCGGTTGTCCTTGATGCCCTGCGTTCCCCGCCATTTGAGCCTTTGGGGGAGATTGCCCTCAAGTGGCTGTCTATGAAGACAGCGTTTCTCCTGGCTATGGCCTCCGGACGGCGGGTGAGTGAACTCCATGCTCTGTCGGTGACCGAGGCCTGTTGTCGTTGGCATCCTGACGGCTCGGGTGTGTCTATGTGGCCGGATGTGTCCTTTGTCCCGAAGGTGTCTTCTGGTCGGTATGACGGGCCCCTTCAGTTGGCCCGTTTTGGTTCTGGTGAGCCCCCTGACCCTCTGTGCCCGGTTCGTGCACTGGAGGTGTACATTCGCTCCACGGCCTCGATAAGGCGTTCAGACGCCCTGTTTGTCTGCTGCGCCGGCCCTCGCGTTGGTCGGGCTCTGTCCAAGCAGCGTCTCTCCCACTGGGTCGTGGGGGTTGTGACAGAGGCCTATGCCTTGCGGGGGCTGCCGTTACCGCCTGGGGTGAGGTGCCATTCTACGAGGGGCATGTCAACTTCGTGGGCTGCTGTGAGTGGTGTGTCGTTGGACGTCATCTGTGCGGCGGGCGTCATGGTCGTCCCCAAGCACCTTCGCCAGGTTTTATCGGGTTAATGTTGCCGCCCCGCACCCCCTGCAGGGGGTTCTGCGGCGCCGCTCATCCGTTTCACAGTAAGGTGAGGTTCTGGTTGGTTTCCTCGTGACCTTGCTGATATTCGTCATCCAGTGCTTAAGCACCGCCTCTGGCGGTCAGGAAGGATGAAATAGAACGAGAGTTACGACTGTAACTACGGTTCTATGAATCCTGGATGACCGCCAGAGCGCCCGGTCCCTCGGAATCCTTGTGCAAGAAAGGTTCTAGGGACTGTGCTTCCGGTGTCACGTGGCTTTATAGACTCTCGCGTGAGCTACCGGAGGTCACGGGTGACTTTGTTGTTATTTGACTCTCGATCTGTGCATGCGCGAGGATGATCATCCAGTGCTTAAGCACCGCCTCTGGCGGTCATCCAGGATTCATAGAACCGTAGTTACAGTCGTAACTCTCGTTTTCACCGCGACAACAATCCTCCCGCATGAGTCGACAGGCATCAGTTTGCAGTTTTGACATTTCAATTTCTCCCCCTCCCTCCCCTCCCTCCCCCCTCGCCTCCCCCCCTCTCCCCCTCCCTCCCTCCGTCTCCCGGACCAATCCCGCTCCTGTCAATCTCTGCGTTTTTCGGAGGTTGTGGATTGACTTTGACGTTGAGGCTGGAGAGATTTTCTTTGTGCGGGCATCAAAGGCGTCGGTCTGGGCTGTCAGTGGGAGGAGCCTAATCGGTGTCGGCGGCGTGCGAGAGCGAGACGTCCGCTTCCATTTGTCAGCGCCGCGTCCGTCTGACACTTCCACATTTATTCTTCCTGTTCGACATATTCCCACATTTTATTCTCTGACTGTTCTGTCATCTCCGTGTGTGAGGTGTGGGTCTGAGGCTGTGTCTGTTCTGACGGAGCATTGACCTGAATCTAAGACAACGGCTGTGGTCTCTGAGGAGGGCAGGAAGAGAGAGACTACAGAGAGACCAGAGAGAGACCAGAGAGAGACTAGAGAGAGACCAGAGAGAGACCAGAGAGAGACCAGAGAGAGACCAGAGAGAGACCAGAGAGAGACCAGAGAGAGACCAGAGAGAGACTAGAGAGAGACCAGAGAGAGACTAGAGACAGACTAGAGAGAGACCAGAGAGAGACCAGAGAGAGACCAGAGAGAGACCAGAGAGAGACCAGAGAGAGACCAGAGAGAGACCAGAGAGAGAGACCAGAGAGAGAGACCAGAGAGAGAGACCAGAGAGAGAGACCAGAGAGAGGGACCAGAGAGACCTTGTGAAGTTGATGATTTGTCCAAAACAGATCAGAGAATCAAACGATTCGAGTATGGTGGCTGAATGGTTAGCACTCTCGCCTCTCAGCAAGAAGGTCCTGGGTTTGAATCCCGGTCGGAACAGGGCCTTTCTGAGTGGAATTTGCATGTTCTCCCCGTGTCTGCGTAAGTTTCCTCCGGGTGCTCCGCACAATAGGTCTGAATGTAAATGAGAGAGTGTTGGGTCAGAGGCTTTGATGGTCCAGTGTGTTCTGGACTCGTTTCTGTCAACACCGTGTGTGGAAGGATTGGAACATTATCTGACTCTGAACATTGTAAAGCACTTTGGGTCTGTACCTTGGTCTGTAAAATGCGCTATATAAATAAACATTACTTACATAAAATGCAACACATATGAGCCATTGGTTCATAAGGGACTGTTGGGACTCTCCTTCCACTCTCCTGCATCGAAAAGAAACCACTGAAAAACTCAAAAAGATTGAAAAACCTTGAGGGAGACTTATACAGAGAGAGAGGGATCTGAAGCACCGGCTGTAGACCGAGGACTGAGGCTGTAGATCCAGGACTGAGGCTGTAGACCGAGGACTGAGGATGTTGACCGAGGACTGAAGCTGTAGACCGAGGACTGAGGCTGTAGATCCAGGACTGAGGCTGTAGACCGAGGACTGAGGATGTTGACCGAGGACTGAGGCTGTAGACCGAGGACTGAGGCTGTAGACCGAGGACTGAGGCTGTAGATCCAGGACTGAGGCTGTAGACCGAGGACTGAGGCTGTAGATCCAGGACTGAGGCTGTAGACCGAGGACTGAGGCTGTAGACCGAGGACTGAGGCTGTAGACCGAGGACTGAGGCTGTAGATCCAGGACTGAGGCTGTAGATCCAGGACTGAGGCTGTAGACCCAGGACTGAGGCTGTAGATCCAGGACTGAGGCTGTAGACCGAGGACTGAGGCTGTAGACCCAGGACTGAGGCTGTAGACCGAGGACTGAGGCTGTAGACCCAGGACTGAGGCTGTAGACCCAGGCCCAAAGTCTCAAAAGTCTGAGTAAAAGCAGTTCATTTCCAGTTCCTCAAATAGATTCATTTTTGACCATTTAGAGCTTGCGTCTGATGAAATAAAAGTTTTCCGTTTCTTTCCGGTCCTTTCCTCTCAGACATATTCTAAAACGTCCTTCTGAAATTGTAGGCAACATACTTTTAAATAAACGGTTTTTATTATTCTAGAGAATGTCCTCCTCCCCTGCCACTCCAAATAATAATAATGAAAATATATGTATTAAGTACAGAAGAGGTCGTCATGGTTACTCAGACCTCCTCATGCAGATTATTATTGTTAGAATACTAGCAGGAAGTACAAGTTACCCAGAATGCACCGTTATTGACCTTAATGGCATAAAAAAAAAATTTCGGTCCTATTTACGGCTTTGTTCTCTGGATGAATTGTCTCAGTTTTACTGAAAAAAATGGATTTAAAATGAGGTATAACAGAAGGATTTAAAACTACATCGTCTGAAGTTTATCCAGTAGTTATTGAATTGTTTTTTTTAAATGTTTATCATGTGCTTTTCTTGTGAGATGCGTGTTGGCCTTGGTCCTTGAAGGCGCTATATGAATAAATTAGCTGAATACGTCGTGTGTTTCCAGGTTCTGTCTCCGCTGTCGGACTCCATCTTGGCCGAAAAGACCATCACCGTGTTGGACGACAAGGTGAGACCAGAGAGAGACCAGAGAGAGACCAGAGAGAGACTAGAGAGAGACCAGAGAGAGACTAGAGAAAGACTAGAGAGAGACTAGAGAGAGACCAGAGAGAGACCAGAGAGAGACTAGAGAGAGACCAGAGAGACTAGAGAGAGACCAGAGAGAGACTAGAGAGAGACCAGAGAGAGAATAGAGAGAGACCAGAGAGAGACCAGAGAGAGACCAGAGAGAGACCAGAGAGAGACCAGAGAGAGACCAGAGAGAGAGACCAGAGAGAGACCAGAGAGAGACCAGAGAGAAAGACCAGAGAGAGACCAGAGAGAGACCAGAGAGAGACCAGAGAGAGACCAGAGAGAGACCAGAGAGAGACCAGAGAGAGACCAGAGTGAGACCAGAGAGAGACCAGAGAGAGACCAGAGAGAGACCAGAGAGAGAGACCAGAGAGAGACCAGAGAGAGACCAGAGAGAGAGACCAGAGAGAGAGACCAGAGATAGACCAGAGAGAGAACAGAGAGAGGCCAGAGTGAGACCAGAGAGAGAACAGAGAGAGACCAGAGAGAGAGACCAGAGAGAGACCAGAGAGAGAGACCAGAGAGAGACCAGAGAGAGACCAGAGAAAGACCAGAGAGAGAGACCAGAGAGAGACCAGAGAGAGAGACCAGAGAGAGACCAGAGAAAGACCAGAGAGAGACCAGAGAGAAACCAGAGAGAAAGACCAGAGAGAGAGACCAGAGAGAGAGATCAGAGAGAGACCAGAGAGAGACCAGAGAGAGAGTTGTGTGTCTGTAACATGTTGTGTGTCCGTGCAGGTGACCATCTCGGACATGGGAGTGCAGGTGGTGTCGTCTCTGTCTCTGAGTCTGAGTTCAAGTCCAGGAAACATCAGAGCCATTCAGCTGACCGCCACCGCCACGGAGCTGCTGAACGCACACAAGCAGGTACACAACACACACACACACACACACACACACACACACACCGCCACGGAGCTGCTGTACGCACACAAGCAGGTACACAACACACACACACCGCCACTGAGCTGCTGCACGCACACAAGCAGGTACACAACATACACACACACACACACCGCCACGGAGCTGCTGTACGCACACAAACACGTACACAACACACACACACACACCGCCACGGAGCTGCTGTACGCACACAAGCAGGTACACAACACACACACACACACCGCCACCGCCATGGAGCTGCTGTACGCACACAAGCAGGTACACAACACACACACTGTGTGCTGCTGGTTCATACAAAAGTAAATAAAAATGTCTTATCTAAGACCTGTTTGGCACAGTGCTTGGTCCATTTATTCAGACCAGAGAGACCAGAGAGAGACCAGAGAGAGACCAGAGAGAGACCAGAGAGACCAGAGAGAGACCAGAGAGAGACCAGAGAGACCAGAGAGAGACCGGAGAGAGACCAGAGAGACCAGAGAGAGACCAGAGAGAGACCAGAGAGTGACCAGAGAGAGACCAGAGAGAGACCAGAGAGAGACCAGAGAGAGACCAGAGAGAGACCAGAGAGAGACCAGAGAGAGACCAGAGAGTGACCAGAGAGTAACCAGAGAGAGACCAGAGAGTGACCAGAGAGAGACCAGAGAGAGACTAGAGAGAGACTAGAGAGAGACCAGAGAGAGACCAGAGAGAGACCAGAGAGAGACTAGAGAGAGACCAGAGAGAGACTAGAGAGAGACCAGAGAGAGACTAGAGAGTGACCAGAGAGAGACTAGAGAGTGACCAGAGAGAGACTAGAGAGAGACCAGAGAGAGACTAGAGAGAGACCAGAGAGAGACTAGAGAGTGACCAGAGAGAGACCAGAGAGAGACCAGAGAGAGACCAGAGAGAGACCAGAGAGAGACCAGAGAGAGACCAGAGAGTGACCAGAGAGAGACTAGAGAGTGACCAGAGAGAGACCAGAGAGAGACTAGAGAGTGACCAGAGAGACCAGAGAGAGACCAGAGAGAGACCAGAGAGAGACCAGAGAGAGACCAGAGAGAGACCAGAGAGAGACTAGAGAGTGACCAGAGAGACTAGAGAGAGACCAGAGAGAGACCAGAGAGAGACCACATCAGGTCCAGTCCCTCTCTGTTGGACGCAGCTCTCACAGTCTTCCCCTGGAGCAGACGGAGCATAATTGTGTTTTTTGGTATCGTTATAATCTTCTGTAATCGCTGTGGTCTGAGTCACTGTCACTGCCGGCACGTTGGACTTCTTCAGGATTGGGATAATTACTGTTTATTTTCCGATAAGTCCATGAATCCACACGCTCTGCAGTTTGTTTCTACATTTAAGATTCAGTAGAAGAAGAAACAATGGTTCTTTAAAAGTTCTTAAAACATATACTACATTTTTGTTTATGTTTTATATTTGCTCTGACTTCATCTGGCTCAAAGGATAGACTTTTACTGGGACTCTGAGGAGCACAGGGACTGGCCTCCTGCTGGGACTCTGAGGAGCACAGGGACCGGCCTCCTGCTGGGACTCTGAGGAGCACAGGGACTGGCCTCCTGCTGGGACTCTGAGGAGCACAGGGACTGGTCTCCTGCTGGGACTCTGAGGAGCACAGGGACTGGCCTCCTGCTGGGACTCTGAGGAGCACAGGGACTGGCCTCCTGCTGGGACTCTGAGGAGCACAGGGACTGGCCTCCTGCTGGGACTCTGAGGAGCACAGGGACTGGCCTCCTGCTGGGACTCTGAGGAGCACAGGGACTGGCCTCCTGCTGGGACTCTGAGGAGGAGCACAGGGACTGGCCTCCTGCAGGGACTCTGAGGAGCACAGGGACTGGCCTCCTGCTGGTCCCAGAGTCAGGACTACAAATGGAAGGGCTGCATTTCAGATTTATGTGGCTAAAACAGTTGATTCCACCTCACGGCCTTTCTGAGTGGAGTTTGCGTGTTCTCCCCGTGTTCTTTCCTCCAGGTGCTCCGGTTCCCCTGCCACTAAAACATGTACAAGTGTCTCCTGCAGGGTGTGGAGTCAGACTAATGTGCACAACAGTTATAAAAGCGCTTTGTGACTCTGTGAAAGGAGCAATATAAATACTTACAATATAATATAAACATACAAGCTTCTTACTGAAAACAAGGAGACAGGCTTCGCTCTCTCTCCTCTCCTCTCTCTCTTCCCTCTCTCCTCTCTCTACTCACTCCTCTCTCCCCTCTCTTCTCTCTCTCTTCTCTCTCTCCTCTCTCTTCTCTCTCTCTTCTCTCTCTCCTCTCTCCCCTCTCTTCTCTCTCCCCTCTCTTCTCTCTCTCTCCTCTCTCTCCTCTCTCTTCTCACTCCTCTCTCCCCTCTCTGGTCTCTCTCCCCTCTCTTCTCTCTCTCTCCTCTCTCTTCTCACTCCTCTCTCCCCTCTCTTCTCTCTCTCTCTCCTCTATCTCCTCTCTCTTCTCTCCCCTCTCTGCTCTTCTCTGACACTCTTCAAACCCCTGTTAAAACCACTCAAGGACTGTACCCACTCTTATTCACTGTTATTCAATAAACTTGTCTCTGTCTCTCCTGTATGAACTGTGCCATACAGAAAAACATGTCTGTCTCTCCTGTATGAACTGTGCCATACAGATAAACATGTCTGTCTCTCTCCTGTATGAACTGTGCCATACAGAAAAACATGTCTGTCTCTCTCCTGTATGAACTGTGCCATACAGATAAACATGTCTGTCTCTCCTGTATGAACTGTGCCATACAGATAAACATGTCTGTCTCTCCTGTATGAACTGTGCCATACAGATAAACATGTCTGTCTCTCTCCTGTATGAACTGTGCCATACAGATAAACATGTCTGTCTCTCCTGTATGAACTGTGCCATACAGATAAACGTGTCTGTCTCTCCTGTATGAACTGTGCCATACAGATAAACATGTCTGTCTCTCCTGTATGAACTGTGCCATACAGATAAACATGTCTGTCTCTCTCGTATGAACTGTGCCATACAGATAAACATGTCTGTCTCTCCTGTATGAACTGTGCCGTACAGATAAACATGTCTGTCTCTCTCGTATGAACTGTGCCATACAGATAAACATGTCTGTCTCTCTCCTGTATGAACTGTGCCATACAGATAAACGTGTCTGTCTCTCTCCTGTATGAACTGTGCCATACAGATAAACATGTCTGTCTCTCCTGTATGAACTGTGCCATACAGATAAACATGTCTGTCTCTCCTGTATGAACTGTGCCATACAGATAAACGTGTCTGTCTCTCCTGTATGAACTGTGCCATACAGATAAACATGTCTGTCTCTCCTGTATGAACTGTGCCATACAGATAAACATGTCTGTCTCTCTCGTATGAACTGTGCCATACAGATAAACATGTCTGTCTCTCCTGTATGAACTGTGCCATACAGATAAACATGTCTGTCTCTCCTGTATGAACTGTGCCATACAGATAAACATGTCTGTCTCTCTCGTATGAACTGTGCCATACAGATAAACGTGTCTGTCTCTCTCCTGTATGAACTGTGCCATACAGATAAACATGTCTGTCTCTCCTGTATGAACTGTGCCATACAGATAAACATGTCTGTCTCTCCTGTATGAACTGTGCCATACAGATAAACGTGTCTGTCTCTCCTGCAGGAGGCCTTGATCAGTGTGTGGATCCAGTACAGCGACGGTTCAGTGACTCCCCTCGACATCTACGACCCCAAAGACTTCCTGCTCACCGCGGTCTCCATGGACGAGGGCGTGGTCTCCGTCAACAACATGGTACCAGCGTCAGGGAGCATGGACCAGGGACCTGTGGACCATCAGTCAGACTGGGATAGGAACCACATGGTCACTATTAGCAAAGACAGCATTTATTTAAGTTCTTTGCAACAATAAAAAAAAGTGACGAAAAGAAGTAAAACACCATTTGAATCTGTGAAAAACATTTTCACAATTTCAAAGTTTATTTTGAAAATGTGTTATAGGGAGAAGTATCTTTTGTCTCTCTCTGTGGTCCCTTTCTGGTTCCTCTCTAGTCCCTCTAGTCTCTCTCTGTGGTCTCTCTCTCTGGTCTCTCTCTAGTCTCTCTCTGGTCTCTCTCTAGTCTCTCTCTCTGGTCTCTCTCTAGTCTCTCTCTGGTCTCTCTCTAGTCTCTCTCTGGTCTCTCTCTAGTCTCTCTCTAGTCTCTCTCTGGTCTCTCTCTAGTCTCTCTCTCTGGTCTCTCTCTAGTCTCTCTCTGGTCTCTCTCTAGTCTCTCTCTAGTCTCTCTCTGGTCTCTCTCTAGTCTCTCTCTGGTCTAAGGTTGCTCTCGTTGGTCTCTTTCTGATTGATCTATGGTCTCTCTTTTTCTCTGGTCTCTCTCTCTGGTCTCTCTCTGGTCTCTCTCTGGTCTCTCTCTAGTCTCTCTCTCTCTGGTCTGTGGTTGCTCTCGTTGGTCTCTTTCTGATTGATCTATGGTCTCTCTTTCTCTCTGGTCTCTCTCTCTGGTCTCTCTCTAGTCTCTCTCTCTGGTCTCTCTCTAGTCTCTCTCTCGTCCCTCTCTGGTCTCTCTCTAGTCTCTCTCTGGTCTGTGGTTGCTCTCGTTGGTCTCTTTCTGATTGATCTATGGTCTCTCTCTGGTTTCTCTCCAAGGTCTCTCTCTGGTCGCTTTCTGGTCTCTCTCTTTACTCTCTCTCTGGTCTCTCTCTTTAGTCTCTCTCTTGTTTCTCTCTCTGGTCTTTGGTTTTGTAGTCGGCAGAAGTATCATTTTCTCATATCATTTAAACAAACCATCAGAATGTGTTGCACAAGAACGAAGTGACTTTAGGCTGCCATTTCTCAGCCAATCAGCAGAGAGCGCAAGGTGTGAGGTCATGACTGTCAGGGCTCTATGTATTAGTACGCAATAAAACCATGACGCCAGACCAGACCCACATGAAAACAGCCTTAACCCTCCCTCCCCCCTCCTCTCCCCCAGGAGCAGCACTGGCCAGTGGTGGTGGCAGAGGGCGACGGCCAGGGGGCGCTGTTGCGTGTGGAGATGGTGATTTCGGAGACGTGTCAGAAGTCAAAGAGGAAGAGCGTGCTGGCGTCTGGAGTGGGGAACGTCCTGGTGAAGATGGGAGCCAAGCCCGAGCCCAGAGGAGGTCCAGGCCGAGGCCGGACCGAGGACAGCACCGTGGACAACCTCACCAGCGACCAGAGGAACCGCGACGGAGAGTGGAGAGCCAACAGCGTGGCAGAGGAGCGGGAGGAGGGCGCCATGAGGAAGGTTAGCTAGCTGTTCTATGTTACACACTGCAAAAAATGATATATGAGGTAATAAATGCTTGAATCCAGTGGTTTTTACCTCAATTTGAGTACAGAGAAGAGAGACCAGAGAGAGAGAGAGAGAGAGACCAGAGAGAGACCAGAGACAAGAGACAAGAGAGAGAGACCAGAGAGACCAGAGAGAGATCAGAGAAGGAGACCAGAGACCAGAGAGAGGGATCACAAAGAGAGACCAGAGATAGACCCAAAAAGGACCAGCAAGCGAGACCAGAGAGAGAGACCGGATTCTCCAATGGGAAAAAGCCATTTAGTCTAATTCAAGAACCGTTGCTTTATTTTCTCATTCCAAGGGAGACATTTCTTGTATTTTTTTTATTTATTTTTTTATCATTTTGTTTGTTCCCATTGGAGAATCTTGTTTTAAGGCTCAGTCAGAATGTGTTAGGATTAAGACACATTTTGCCAAAATGTAGCATTTTTTGGATCAGGGAATAGAAAAGAGCAGAATAAAGAAGCAAGTATAAAATCTTCATTTATTGTTTCTAATAAATCTTTGTGACTGTGCCGTCCCCAGTTCAGCACCACGACCAAGAGCACGGTGACACAGCGGTCCTCTGGGGGGGGGAAGGCCGGCCGTGGGGGGGGTCCAGGGCAGGCGGCTGAACCAGGGAACCCAGCCCAGGTGGAGGTGCCCAGGCCTGGAGGCAGTGAGCTGGGGCACCCCAACCGCGGCCTCTCCGACCTGGAGATCGGCATGTATGCTCTGCTGGGGGTCTTCTGTCTGGCCATCCTCGTCTTCCTCATCAACTGTGTCAGCTTTGCATTCAGGTAAACGTCCGGTGTGGGCGGGTCCCGGCTCAAAAATTTCCAAAATGACGTGCGCTGACTTGCTGCAGTACCACCCCGGGCCTGTGGGGGGGGACCCGGAATAAGATTTATTCAATGCTAATGTATAGCATCTTCTTACCTCTCAAAAACGGCTTTACAGGATGGTCCAAAAGTTGGCTCTTGGTCCAAAGCTACATTCCAGATCCTATCGATGTTGAGAGGGGAGGAGTTTTTTTTTGGACCAGTCTAGTTGAGCCGCTGTGGACTTTTGAAGGCACTCGTCAAATGAATGGGGCTCGTGCAGCTGACGCATGCACAGATGCGGTATTTCCATAGACTGTAAATATTAACGGACGTAGTCACGCCTATCTCCCCCGTTCTAACTAATGTGCCACAACTTTTGCCGTCTATGGGCAGTTTCAAAATGACCGCGGGGGCTGGAAAATGTAAAAAAAAATGTATCTTCGCATGTGTCAGCTGCACGAGTCCCATTCATTTGACGAGTGCCTTCTGAAGTCCACAGCGACTAAACTAGACTGGTCCAGAGCACCCCCCTCAGCATTGACACACACGTTTTCGAGAAGTAAGAAGATGCTTTATGTTAGCAATGAATAATTCTTGTTCCGGGTCCACCCCCACAGCGCACGTCATTTTGGACATTTTTGAGCCAAGACCCGCTCAGACTGGTTTTTTCACAGTCTATGGTTTATACGGACCCAGGGGGAATGATAATTAGATACAGTACATAACACAGAGTACATAACTTTAGCATTGGTTTAAAGCATTGACTGTATAAAGATGGACAATGCTAACCCGCTAACTGACTAACCCTCTAAATAACTGAAAAATAAACTCTAGCTCAGTAGCCTCTTGTGTCACACTCGACACTTTGGGCTTCAAAAATCTGGTTTAGCGCTTTCTGTCATCCTGGTGTTTATATTGGGATAATGTCTTCAGTGTTGACCAATCAGACGCCTTCAGACTTCAAAAACTCCAGCTTGCCTTAGCAACCCTGTTAGCATCACGTTCGTTAGCATCTGCCCCCGTTATATCGGCAAACACTGCGGTGATGTCAGCTCTCCGTCTGTCCGCTCCTGATTTATTTAAATTATTTATGTATTTCAAACATGCACGAAATGTACAAACAATTATTCACATAAAAATAATGATTAAAGCAAACAAGAAAATCTGTGTATTGTTTGAAAAGGGATTAGAAACAAAAATATGATTGTTATCCAACCCCCTCCCAGCCATTCAGACACATATTACAATACTATACAAATACAAGGATCAATTCAACACACACACACACACACACACACACACACACACACACACACACTCGTGGTCTATGTTTTCTTGCAGTCCATAAAACAGTCCATAATTCCGAGTTTGTGTGTTTCTGCTGCAGGTACCGTCACAAGCAGGTGCCGGTGCTGGAGGCCGGAGGAAACATGAACCACGCCCACGACTGGGTCTGGCTGGGCACCGAGGGCGACATCCTGGCGGACCACAGCGACCAGTGCCCCGCCCGCCTGCCAGACGAGTGCACCACCATCATCGACCGCACCGAGGGCACCTACGAGGAGAGCAAGTACCTCCTGAACGGACAGGACAACAACCTGATGATGGGGCCGGGGGCAGGCATGGGCTCTGGCATGGGCTCTGGCATGGGCTCCGGCATGGGCTCTGGCATGGGCTCTGGCATGGGCTCTGGCATGGGCTCTGGCATGGGCTCCGGCATGGGCTCTGGCATGGGCTCTGGCATGGGCTCTGGCATGGGCTCTGGCATGGGCTCTGGCATGGGCTCTGGCATGGGCTCCGGCATGGGCTCCGGCATGGGCTCCGGCATGGGCACTCTCCCCGGCGGCTCCAGCGTGGCGGGCGGTCACCGTGGTCTCGCTCACAGACAGACTCTCCCTCGGTCGGGTCCAGAGCAGCAGCGTCAGTGCGGCAGCAAAGACGGGCACCTCAGTAACTCCCCTCGAGCCGCCGCCGCCGCCGCAGCTGCCGCGAAACGCAAACGTGTGAAGTTCACGTCTTTCGCCACCGTCCTCCCCAACGACAGCAGCGGGGTGTACGCCAACACGACCGGCCTGGTGCCCAACGGCGAGGACGACATCAAGTGGGTGTGCCAAGACGTGGACCTGAGCCAGTCTGAAATCAGGAGCTACATGGAGCGCCTACAGGACAATCTGTGATGTCAGAGCCAGCGGGGGTCGGGGGGAGACGGAGGACCAGGAATTCACCCGTAATGCCTTTGACATGGACGGAGGCAGACGACCGGTTACAGAATCACAGGGTTCACCTCAGAATTAACGAGAGATCGACTGATTTGAACGGTTGGCAGATAAACAGTTGTGATTGAAAGCTCGGCCAAAATCTCACCTAACTATTAATCTAAAACACAGTCAGTAATAATTCATTTTTACAGAATAACTGAATCCATAAACCAGTCTAGAGCCGTGGTTCTCAACTGGAAAGGTGTGGACAAATGAGGCCAAACAAGCACTGGATTTAGTTCATAGATTGTAAAATACTGTATATTTTTACAAATAATTTTTTAAGCGTTGAATAAATGCAATGCTAATTTCAAGGATAAACAGCAACCGAGGAAATAGACATAAAGCAATCCTGACTATTTTACCTATGGTTTTGTTTCCCCTTCATTTTAGTATAAAAACTTGCACATTTCGGAAAAGTACTTTCTTAAATCATAAGCAGGGCCCCAAAAAAGGCCAACTAGCACGTTGCTAATTGCTAACTTTAGTCGCAGACTTTTAAATTCTGCAAAATCTTTAAACTCGACTGGTCAATCAACCCCAGAAAACCAGTGTCAGTCGACCTCTAATATTACCCACGATTGTTTGATTTGTGCGAATTCTTTCAGGGGAAAATCGTAAATAACCGAGGAATGAACGCGAGTTAGTTTTGTGTTGTGGTGTTAGCGTACCGGCGGGTGAAGCGGCCATTTTAAACTCTCGACAAAGGTAGTCTCCACAAACCATTCCCGTTCCCTGCCAGCGTCATGGACTTCTGTTTGGACGCGTTTAGTTTCCCGCTCCGCCGACACCTCTGTTTGACCTGGCATTCCACCCGCGGCTGAGCAAAGAGACCGCGCGCCGCTGCTAGCATTGCGCGGTGAGCGGAACGGCGGCACCTCTCGCTCCCCTGAACCCACCACCACCGGTTCAACTTGCACAACTGAAAAACAGGCAGAAACAAGGACCATATAAAGGCGTACGTCCTGCTTTTTCAGACCAACGATGAGCCAATGACAGCAGTCTCTCCTTGTTTGGTTTCGTTTTGTTCGGACGACGGCGCAGTGACAGTTTTTCAAAATGTCTGCCCGGATTTCCGATAAAAGACGATGCTACTGTTCAATACCTAATAACTCAGAACTCTACGACCGTCTGTCTTTGCCGAACTTTTTATAAGTATACTCCCCTTTAAGTTTTCCTTTTTACAAATGGCAATGCACTGCAAAGAAGAAACAAGGGACAAGAGCTGGATTTAAGCTAATTTGAATTTCAAGCTATTTTCTATGGTTTTACTGCTTCCAAATGTCATGGACAAAGTCTCGGACAAACGCCAGAACATATACAAAAATCACAATAACAGAATATTTACTCAATCTAAATGTAATCATTCAACGGGAGCCAAAAGCCACTCTTACTTATTGGCCATTAATCAATTATAATGGGACTATTTCGTATTTAATTTAATGTTTTAGAATTTTAAATAATATCTTAAGTGGAAAATATATGGTGAAATAAGTGGGAATGGTCAAAAATGCTTTCTTCCTGCAACTCCCTCTGCTACCACCAGAGGGAGGAGTTAGTATGTTGGTATATTTACAATCGATTCTCTAAAGTGTGAGAGCTGGCGAAAAGTTCTGTGACTTCTTTGAACACGGCAAGGCTCCGGCTGGTCAGGGTGGTAGATGTAGACCGAGACCAGAGTTCAGACCGGTTTGGGAGCAACGTTGAAAAAAACTCGGCCGTTGCTACTGACAACCTTTTTCTCTCTCTGGTCTCTCTCTCTCTGGCCTTTCTGTCTCTGGTCTCTCTCTCTGGTCTCTCTCTGGTCTCTCTCTCCGGTCTCTCTTTCCAGACTCTCTCTCTGGTCTCTCTCTCTGGCCTCTCTCTTGGGTCTCTCTCTCCATCTCTCTCTGGTCTCTCTTTCCAGACTCTCTCTCTGGGGTCTCTCTCTCTGGTCTCTCTCTCTCTGGTCTCTCTTTCCAGACTCTCTCTCTGGGGTCTCTCTCTCTGGTCTCTCTCTCTCTGGTCTCTCTCTCTGGCCTCTCTCTCTGGGGTCTCTCTCTCTGGTCTCTCTTTCCAGACTCTCTCTCTGGTCTCTCTCTCTGGTCTCTCTTTCCAGACTCTCTCTCTGGTCTCTCTCTGGTCTCTCTCTCTGGGGTCTCTCTCTCTGGTCTCTCTCTCTGGGGTCTCTCTCTCTGGTCTCTCTTTCCAGACTCTCTCTCTGGTCTCTCTCGCTGGTCTCTCTCTGGTCTCTCTCTCTGGTCTCTCTCTCTGGTCTCTCTCTCTGGTCTCTCTCTCTGGTCTCTCTCTCTGGCCTCTCTCTCTGGTCTCTCTCTCTGGTCTCTCTCTCTGGTCTCTCTCTCTGGTCTCTCTCTGGTCTCTCTCTCTGGTCTCTCTCTCTGGTCTCTCTCTCTGGCCTCTCTCTCTGGTCTCTCTCTCTGGTCTCTCTCTCTGGTCTCTCTCTCTGGTCTCTCTCTGGTCTCTCTTTCTGGTCTCTCTCTGGTCTCTCTCTCTGGCCTCTCTCTCTGGTCTCTCTCTCTGGTCTCTCTCTCTGGTCTCTCTCTCTGGGGTCTCTCTCTCTGGTCTCTCTCTCTGGGGTCTCTCTCTCTGGTCTCTCTTTCCAGACTCTCTCTCTGGTCTCTCTCGCTGGTCTCTCTCTGGTCTCCCTCTCTGGTCTCTCTCTCTTGTCTCTCTCTCTGGTCTCTCTCTCTGGTCTCTCTCTCTGGTCTCTCTCTCTGGTCTCTCTCTCTGGCCTCTCTCTCTGGTCTCTCTCTCTGGTCTCTCTCTCTGGTCTCTCTCTCTGGCCTCTATCCCTGGTCTCTCTCTCCAGTCTCTCTCTCCCTCTGGTCTCTCTTTGGTTGTGATGTCACCACACAGTTACAGAAACAAAAAGCAGCAAAATGCGAACTTAAATCAGAACTAAACAATTTTTACTTGTACCAAATCTAAACCCAGGTATAATTCTCATTACTAAAGCCACCTTATTCATCGTCTTTCTTTGCAGTGCATCTCCTCCTTTCCACGTAGAAAAGCATTTTATTTTTTAGAGAATATTAAAAGGATTTTAAGAATATATTCTGTTGCTCCTATAAATCTATTTATTTAAAGAAGCCGCGAGGGTGAGCGGACGACGAACACTCACCTCCAATAACAAACTCAGGTGACGAGGGACGAGCCGCCGACGGGAGCTGGCTGGATGATTGTTCAGATTGCAATATTTATTTATAAGTGTGAATCAGAGTACACTGTATGTTGTAAATAAATAAACTTGCTTCAAAAGTGCGTGTGGCTAACGGCTAACAGCTAACGGCTAACAGCTAACGGCTAACAGCTAACGGCTAACAGCTAACGGCGAACAGCTAACGGTCACCGGTCGACCACATAGCGACAGGTTTTGTACATTTTACAGACAACACACACATCACACGATACAAGTGGTATTATCGGTTATTTTTATAGACATACGGTTGTTTTTGAAGTGCTAGTATCTGTGCAGGGTATAAACGAGTACGAATGGATCCACAATCATAGCTGGAAACACACTCGTAGAGCGCAGACCTCCGCCAAGAGGATCACCTGCAAAATCAAATGAGTTTCTGAACCGTGCTAAAAAACCTTCTGTGTTTATGTGTGAACCATAGACCATACTGTACATAAAAGGATGATGCTAACACGCTAGCTCAATGAAGCCCAACAGGGAAGTGCTCCTGGACGAAGTTTAGCTCAGACTCTCTCTGACTCCTTTTTAATTTACATGCAAAACTAAACTCACAAAACACTTTGGGATAAAAAAATAAATAATCAGATATTAGCCATATAAGGATTGACCAATCAGATGCCTTCAGTCAGAGGGGAAACTCTAGCTTGCCTTAGCGACCGTCTTAGCAACCTGTCTGCCTCTGTTATGGCCCATAGCTAACGCCGTCGGAACAAATTCCCATATAAGGAAATTGGCTCCAGCTAGCTTATGTTCAAATCTGCTTCTTCCGCATTAAGGCTAACGCTGTGGTGATGTCACACTGCGTCAGTCCTCTCCAAAAATACATCGTACGGGAACGACAACTGGAAAACCCACAGATTTATATTAGCTGGCTTTGGAAAGGCAGTTTAAAACGGAAGAAGTGGAAAAGATGACTCCAAGTAAACATCTATAACTTTAGCAAAACAAAGAAGAGAGTGTAAAATCTTGGACGTTAGCATAGGTGTTAGCATAACAAAGAAGCAGGCGTAAAATCTTGGACGTTAGCATAGGTGTTAGCATATTAAAGAAGCAAGAATAAAATCTCGGAAGTTAGATTAATAAAGACGCAAGTGTAAGTATAAAACAGTGAATTTTATAATCCTCCCATGGCTCTTTTCCGTTCTGCTGCAGACAAACAAACTGACAGACAGACAGACAAACCCAGGTGAAAACACAACCTTTGGCGGAGGTAATCAAACCCGAGACTGAAACAAAAGAGAAGCCTTTAGTTTTCTTGTTAATCTAGAGTCGTTCTAAATATGTATTTAAAGAACATATAATGGTGTACGCTCAAGGGTCCGGATCAGCAGAATACCCCCATCTACTGGCGGAAACAGGAACTGACTTATTTGGTTAATAATCAAACCTAAAATACGGCTCCAACTTTCTCGCTATTGTGAAGAGAGTGACTGGACTGAAGAATGTCCCTGACCGAGTTTACGGACAATACTTTAGTTTGAAATCAGATTGTTCACAGATTTGACGACAGAGCATTGAGACAGAAGGGGCGGGGGGATGTGTTTGTATTGGTTGATCCCCAAAAGTGACTGATCTTAGTGTGGATGGAGCTAAACACAACTCCAGGTCTGTTTTTGATGTTGTAACATGGTTTAAAAGCTCAAACATCTTCTGTCTCTTTTAACGCAATAAAAATATGATTTCATCTCTTATCGCCTTCACTGTTATCACTGGAAAATGT